GCCGGTATCGCGGAAGACACGTTTTGTCGTCCGCTCCGCCTAACCTCAGACGTCAATCTGTCAGACGTTTCGAATGAAACTATTCGGAGTAATTATGATCTAGTCCGAGATAAGACAAACGTTCGGGAGTCGTTAGCTTCTTATTCTCCAAGAATAAAACGGACACTTCTCTCTGTGCTTCCTCTCCATAATTTTTTTTATAAATATATTATAGTCGTGTTGATAACCGGTACGGTATAATGCGAGTGCCGACCAGTGTTGTTTTTCTTAACATTTTTGTAATCGTATTGACTTGCATGAGTAGCATCCAATGTGAGAAAGAAAAACTGGGCGAGGAGGAACTCAAATCTCAAAAATTTCCGCCCTGCGCAGCGTGCAAAATACTTACCAGTAGTTTCAAAAAGGTAAACAACCCCCTTCCTTTTCTGATTTTAGATAGAAGTATTTAATTAGTTATATTAAAATAATTTTGCGTTAAAACTGTCAAAAGAGACGTAACACTATTCATGTTATTTAAATAAATAATTTTGTCATTTGAGAATATTTTCATGAATTATAATTATTTTATAGGGTTTAGACAAGACGAGTCGTGGGAAGTTTGAGGGCGGAGATAGCGCTTGGGAGGAGGATAAGTTAGGCTCGTACTCAAGAAGTGAAATACGACTGATTGAAATACAAGAGAACTTGTGTAAAGATGTCGAGCGTGGCGAGGTGCAGTGCCAATCTTTAGCCGAAGAATTGGAGAGTCAGATAGAGGAATGGTGGTTCAAGCATCAAGATACTTATCCAGATATATACGATTATATCTGTATCGAAAAGACAGAACGTTGTTGTCCGAAAGATCATTACGGTCCGAACTGTACGCAGTGTCCAGGATATCCAGATAGAATCTGCAGCAATAATGGCAAATGTAAAGGAGCTGGCACGAGAAAGGGAAATGGTGGCTGCTTCTGCGACAAGGGATATATCGGAGACATTTGTTCAGAGTGCGCTCCGAGATACTATGAATCTTATAAGGACGAAAAAACCTTGTTATGTTCCTCATGTCATGCGGCGTGCGACGGACCTTGCAAAGGCGCCGGGCCAAAGGATTGCGAGAAATGTGCTGCTGGATGGTACATGATCGAAGACAAAGGCTGCTTTGATATCGACGAATGTTTAAGAAGCAACGATATCTGTCCTGGCAATCAATTCTGCATTAATAAAGAAGGGAGCTATGCTTGTTTGGGTATATATACACCTTATCTATTTTTATTAAATTATTTTTAATTTGGATATATTAAAATAAAAAATTTGGAATCTTTTCAGCTTGCGACAAAGCCTGCAACGGTTGCACCGGCGATGGGCCAGATATGTGTGTCAAATGTGCCGATGATTATCATAAAAAGGATAATTTGTGCATAAGTAGGTACTTCAAATAATGATATAATGTAACTTATTTTAAATATTTATAATATATGTTATTTGTAGATTCAGATCTTCTTGGCCGCAAGAAACAAGAAAATCTGGCGAGATATCTGACGTATTTCGGACTTTGTGTGGCGACATGTATTATTTTGCAACGTAACGTTTATGCAGCAAGCGTTATCGGTTTGTTGGTTGCAATATATATATCTGTTTCTGAGTACATGATCGCATATAGCAATGTCCAGGATACAACGGCAAACATGGATATTCTAGGACCAGCTTAAATAGGAACGCAATTTAAAGAATTCCGTAAAATCATTTCAATGTGTTATATCAGGATACGGAGTCATTATCCACATGTAAAATACATCGTATTAGAATTAATATATAATTAATATCATTGTATAAGTTAAAAAGATGCTAGAATTTTATATTTATTAGTAATATTTTTTCTTGCTATACTTTTGAGAAACTTTGATATGTATTCTTGATCTTATATATTCGTTTCTAATAACTATATATATTTACTTTACATAATTATATGATTTTTATCTAAATATCAACGTATTTAAAAAATTATATGGCCAGTTTTTTAATTGCACCATTTCTTGTCTACTAAAATTATTAATGCTCTAGTTTTTTGTCCAATATGTTTTTATTATTGTATATAGGTACTTTACATTATTGTAAATACTATATCTGAATGTAGAAAAGAAATGATAACAGAAGATATTTAAAATAAGTACATTACAAAACATACAACATATTACTTAGGCATTTTTATACTCCTAAAAGATTCAAATGACTTCTGACGTATATCTATCTACAGTTTCTAATAGCTATAATATAATAACGTCGATTTCAACGAAGAAAACATAACAATATTGTCAATAATTAATATTAAAAGTAAATTTCTATTTCATATTTTTTTGACGGTATTTTATTCAATCATTATAGGTATCAAATAACATAAAATTTAATTATATTGCATATGAATGTGGGAGAATGCAATGTATCCTTATAAAAATTTATGTTAATGTTTACATTAAAAAGAATGATACACTATGTATTATGCATTTGGATGGTATACAATATATCTAATTAATTTATGTCAATATATTACATATGTGTATTGACATAACTAATATTCAGTATAACAAATATGCAATATTATTTGAGCAAAAAAATGTATTCTCATTTCATCCCTATATATTATACATGTTAATTTTATAATACAATAGTCTTATAGAAATATCCAAATAATTAATATGCAAATATATGTTATCAGTAAGTTGCAAGATTAATTATATTAAAAAATTTCTGAAGTATTATGTAAGCACAGATTTAAATCATTTACATCCAGTGATTTCGATTTTTCAATGTAAATTCGTTCATTATTAACTTTCCTAAGATAAGTAATTGCACGATTAATTAATTTGCAATTGACTTGCTGTATTTATATATCTGAAGCATTAGATATGAGATTTGTAAAGGAACAGATATAAATGATATGATTGTAGGTACACAGACAATATCAAGGCTGACTAACAATAAGACAGACAGTGACGATTGTGTATTATTCATCATATTTTTTATCTCGATGTGAGTACTATTCCAATATTTCAACTCGCTGCATCGAGCACATGAGGTTATGTTAAAATACATCATCCAAAAATATATCTTTCCTAATTAATTAATGTTCAAAATTTGGATATAAGATTTATGCATTGCTCGACGATCAAATATACAAACAACTTTTCACGTTAAACTTCATTTATGCATTTAACTTATTGAATTGACATCATGCGAAACACTAACAAAAACATACACATTCACATAAACTAGAAATTCCATCAATATTGCCATTATACGATAATAGATGGCCAAATATGCACAGCACTTTCTCGTAATTAAAAATTGCTTACTTTTACTATTTCTTCTGTGGTGCAGAACCTTCGCACATATACAACAACTTTATATCTATAATAGATTTTTGGAACGTTTAAAAATCTCAAACTACTGATAATAGTCTAAAATGAAATAATTCTCTCACTTCTGTATATGTGCACATTATG